AGATTTGAGCCTGAGAGGGATAAAAACCAGTAAAAGAACTTTAAAATCGATCCTGAAACTCACAGGGAGCAAGTGCAGTGATTTTAAAACCGGTGTATTGTGGTCCCGCCCTCTGGTCCCAGTCAGGACACGCGCTGCTGAATTTTGTAACAATTGCAAACCTGAAATACTCTTTTTGGGAAGACCAGAGAGCAGGGCATTACAGTAGCTTATTCGACTGGTGATAAAAATGTGCACTGTGTAACTTTTCTGAGGTTCCACCATCTGCTTGTCTCCACGGTGATGTTATTATTTTGCCTGGGATGATCCGCAGTAAGGCATTAAACAAATATATCTCGCATGTATTCAGTTCTAGGAGTTTTTATTTGTCAGAATGACCACAAAAACGTGCATTATTAAATTGTAAACTGGCGTGATGATGTGGCTGCTGGTCTCCATGGAAATAGAGAAATGAATAAATGAAACACTAGAAGACTCCAGGACAAAAGCAATAACATCTGCATGAAGTGAAGAAAGTCCTAGATTACGCAAACACGACTTAGGTGAACTTTTATCTCATGTTAGAATGTTGTTACCTCCTCAGAAACAGACCCGGAGTTGTGTTTTGTTTCATTCACGCCGGTTTATTAAACTCAACATGACAGACAGACAGTGTTGGGAAGGTGACTTTTAAAATGTAATCCCCTACAGATTACAGATTACACACCCCAAAATGTAGTTTGTAACATAATCCACTTAATTACTTAAAGTGAGTAACGTAATCTGAATACTTTGGATTACTTAATTTGCTGTAGGGAAGCAAAGACCAGGATATCGTAACATAAAATGTTTTGTCTGCTAAATGAAAATAAAAAAGCCCAGACTTTACTGAACCAAATTAAAAATATTATTGATAGAAGAGGAGGAGACACGTCCGCACAGCATGGTTTAGTCCTGTTAAATATTGTTTTAGTCCTGGTTTAGTCCTGGTTTAGTTGTGGTTTTAGACCTGGTTTAGACCTGGTTAAGATCTAGTTTAGATCTAGTTTAGACCTGCTTTTAGTCCTGATTTAGTCCTGTTTTAGTCCTGATTTAGTCCTGGTTTAGTCTTGGTTTAGACCTGGTTTAGATCTAGTTTAGTCCTGGTTTAGTTGTGGTTTTAGACCTGGTTTAGACCTGGTTAAGATCTAGTTTAGTCCTGGTTTAGTTGTGGTTTTAGACCTGGTTTAGACCTGGTTTAGATCTAGTTTAGTCCTGGTTTAGTTGTGGTTTTAGACCTGGTTTAGACCTGGTTTAAGATCTAGTTTAGTCCTGGTTTAGTTGTGGTTTTAGACCTGGTTTAGACCTGGTTTAGATCTAGTTTAGTCCTGCTTTTAGTACTGATTTAATCTTGTTTTAGTCCTGGTTTAGTTGTGGTTTTAGACCTGGTTTAGATCTAGTTTAGATCTAGTTTAGACCTGGTTTAGTTTTTGGGAATGAGTGGAATTAACAAAGTAACTGTAATCCAATTACCACTCACTGAAACAGTAACTGTAACTGAATACAGTTACTCATAATTTGTACTCTGATTACGTAACGCTGGTACATGTAATCTGTTACTCCCCAACACTGCAGACAGATATGTAGATTTTAAGTTTACATCTACTTTTAGCCGATTTCAGGGCTGAAATGATCCAAGTGATTCTAGTGATCGGTTTGAGCTACCTGTCCACCCGTCTAAGCGCTGTTCCAGTTTAAATGCTGTCGATTTGAGCTCCCGAGGCAGAAGTGTCGTAACAAGTGTTTTGGTTTTATTGTACGTTTGGACAAGTTAAGAAACGACACGTGCTGTTCGATTTTCAGCAGAATATCTACGTTAGATGATTGAATAGTTTGGATTTAATATTTGATTTTATTGTTTTATTTTATTTTGTTTCCATGTGTAGAAAATGTTGTAACTTTGGCACTGTATAAATAAACTATCACTATATTATAATAGGAAATTCACACTGTAGCCTGTGATATTAGTGTTAATTATTATATATTTAACTATATTTAACATAAAGATTTCAGAGTTTCCAGTCATTTCTTTCTCTTCTATAGTGGGAGCATTATTTGATAGAAGATACAGGCCTATCGAAATGAGCTCCCTTTAGTCGGAGCCCTATTTGAGCAGAATATGACTGTCCTATGACTACCTATGCATATTCATATAATTGTGTTGAAATTGTACATAACTAAAGTAAAAAAAAAAAGATCATTGTGTGTAAACAGCATCAAACCTGCGTCTCTAATCCAAATATGTAGTAAAACTGGGTTTATTGGATCTATACAGCTGTAAATGGAAAAATGCAAGTTAGCTCATTTCGACGGGGTAGTGTGAATTGATAGATGTCACTGTCGATTTAGGCTGCTGATGGGGCGGCCCATTTCGACAGAATATGCACCACAGGTAAAACCCTCCAAGGTCCTGACCAAGTCTAGCAACAAGATGACAGAGATGGATGCATCAGAGGTCAAAACTCCCCATGGTGACAATCAAGTGTATTGTTTTATCACATGACATCATGAGGTGGAACAGAGTGTTTATAGTTTGAGAGAAGAACTCAGCGCGTGTTAAACATGTGTGAACGAAACAAAACACAACTCCACGTCTGTTTGTCATAAGGAAACATTATAACATAGATCTGAAAATAGCATATTATGTAGGACGTTTTCATACCACGAGTTTGATTATTTGGTCCACTCCAGGCAATAAAGTTGGTGTTACGTAGCACAGGGGAGTTCACACTTTTTCAGCATGCGAGCTACTTACAAAATGACCAAGTCAAAATGATCTACCTAATACAAAGCCAAGCAAACTGCACTGAAACACTCTGTGCCCCTTTTTTGGACCCTCACCCACAGTTTGAGAACCTCTTCTTTAAGAGAACTTCCTCTGGCACTTTACACAAAACTGTGAAAAAAGTGAAGGAAGATTTTTAAATCTGTTTTTTAAAGTTCCAAACTGGAGTTGCATTCTTTTCTGGTTTTGCAGTGATATTTACCAGCCTCTGCACGTTTACCAAACCAAACACACATCGTGACAAACACAGATGCATTTGTGCACTTTTGTTAGACAAACTTCAGCCAAATGTGGCAGTAGGTCTGTTCTGTAGATCCGCTCTATGCTGTAGACCTGCTTTGTGTCAACACTGTAACACAAATTTAGACTGTTTTTTGCTTCACGTTTGGTCTTGCTCTTCTAATCAGCCGCACTGTGGGAGGGGCTTGTGTTCGCTGTACGCAGGAAGGAGCGACAGCGTGAAAAGGCGAGGGGCGGCGTGCTGACGTGAGGCAGATGGACAGGTAGGATGTTTAGGAAGTTGAACCTGCCCTGTGATGCACGCTGGTACACGAGGGCACACGCTGTCGCAGACGAGCCGTGCATAGGGAGCGTGTGTGTTTGTGATGCGCCGTAGAGTCTCCGCGGGTTTCAAATGAGCGCACAGGCTGCACTGAGACGCCCCACACGCTCCTGCACCCGCTACAAGTTTATTACCAACAGCAGCGGCCGTAATGAAATATGATCACACTTGTTGAGTGTCAGACCTCGAGTGAGAGACAAGACCGAGTCCAAACGCGAGTCCGAGATGAGTACTAAGACACGGCGATCTACCCACACGACACTGACGATCAACTGGTAGATCGCGATCGACTGGTAGATCGCGATCGACGTATTGAGCACCCCTGATGTAGCATATAGGTTCCAGTGTGTTGCTTTCACACCTGCAAACAAACCAAAATTGGTCAGATTGACGTATATCCCAGGCTCCTGTGGACAGCGGGTTCCACTGCACATGGCTTGGGGATACTGAGGCTCTCCCACACCAGACCTCTCGAGGCGAAGCACCCTCTCGGCCAGTGGCCTTCCCATGAAGCTCCTCCACGGGGTACAGACAGCACAGGCTGGTCCCCAAGTGGAAGTCGGCCTCTGACACACACAGTTTCTCAAACCCTGTCTGAAAGCATCTCTGGCCTGGGGAGCTCGGACTCACAAACCTATGGACCACCAGCCATGGGGGCAGGCGTCCAGACCCAACACCGCCCCCCGTCACACCTCTTAATCAGGACACGGGATGCTCAATTTGGGAGTTCGAGCCTGCCCTCCCATAATCCATTTCAAATAGTTGGTTTGGATCTACCGTCTATGGTTTGGACCCGAGTTCACGTTCTCACCAGAAGGACCGCACCAGAGTTTGGCATTTGGTGTGGAGTCAAGCGAACTGAGAAAGTCTCTTTTTTGATTTAGTGCAGATCTGAGTACGACTGATGCTTTCACACCAACAAAAACCAACACAACTAAGAGCTTCTGGTTCAAATAGAACGTCTGATGAGCACCGACTGCTGTTAGTGTGAAAGCACCTTTAACGTCTCTGGAAGCGCTGGTGGAGGTGTCTGGGGAGGGGGAAGTCTGGGATCTCACATATGCATTAATGACTTCATATTTTAAAATAGTTTTCTTACATTTAGAATGAAAAAAAAAATGTAATAGCCAACTCGAGCTCTTTTGGAATAGAAGTCAGTCCTTTAGTTCATCAAATCTAAACAGACTTATCGTCCCGGTCCAGCTGCTCCGCCCGTGACCCCTTTACGCACACACCATTTTCATCTTTTATTTGAGTTGCCCGGTAACCAGTTATGCAGCCTGTAATAAAACAATTAATGAATAACCAGCCGTCCCCGTTAATATTAACACGCTAAAACAAAGTGACAGCCAAAGTAGTGAAAGTATTTGTGCGCTTGTATCGAAAATGTCCGAGTCGGGTTTTCCTTTATGGCGCCTGTCGAGTTGAATTATCCGCTTTGGCTCACGGGACTCCCTCCTCGCGGCCACCCTCCCTCCCTCCTCTCCTCTCCTCCTCTCTCCACTTCTCTCCTCTCCTCTCCCAGCGCTCTCACCAAAAAGGGGCCGGACAGAGGACAACCCGTCTCCCACGTCAACCACGTCAGAGGCGGCTTCGTTTATTTAAACCTGAATCAAGACCCGAGCAAAGTTTTCTCAGCCGGCACAGCGTTGCCTAGTAGCAGCTACTGGCAGCGGGAGAGTACGCCAAGAGCTTCTTTTGGTTTTACGCACGCAGTTTGGACGCACCGTGGACGCTCGCCTTGACGACTCGCGCGCCTGTCATCCGTCTGTCTCCGTCTCAAAAGCGATATATACTCGAAATGCCGCAGACTGTGATGCTAATGGGACCCTCTCCTTGGGGTTTTCGGCTCGTGGGTGGACGGGATTTCAGCACGCCCTTAACCGTATCCCGGGTAAGTCCTTGACACCGCCGAGTGCGCTTTCTTTCATTCATTCTGGAGTCTGGAAGGAAATTACGAAGTTACGCGGAGTGGACACGTTTGACTTGGCATTGTATTTATTTAGTCGCTTTTTACACGTGTGTTGTGTTTTTGGGGGGGATGTTGGCAGTGACGTTGTTAACTTTTACGCACGGACGAACCTGTAGTCTGGAGTTTAAAGGTCCAATATTGCGCAAAACTTGACCCTTGTGAGCTTTAAGTCATGTTATAATACTGTTACCTCATCAAAAACAGACCTGGAGTCGTGTTTTGTTTCATTCAGACACAATTGAGCAACTCTGGTTTATTAATCTGTCTATTTATCCAAAGCTGTAACCTCTCTGTCCCACCTTGTGATGTCATGAATTGGTAGTTTTCAAGTAAACAGCTACACTTTTAGTTTTAGTTCAGTAGAAATTGGCAATTCCTGGTCTGAAATGATCCAAATGATTCTAGTGAAGGTGCATGGAGTTTAAAAACACAGTGGAGCACCTCCTGTATTATCACATTGACTTAAAGGGCCAAGTTGCGCTGTTTTCTGATCTGTTTTATAATGTTTCTTCGTCGCAAACGTACTTGGAGTTGTGTTTTGTTTAAATCACACGCTGCGTTTTTAGGCTGAGTTCTTCTCTCAAACAGAAAACACTCTGTCCCACCTTGTGATGTCATGAAGAGGTAGTTTTCAAGTTAACAGCTCCTTTTTGCATTTAGTTCAGTAGAGATTGACAATTCCAGGTCTTAAATCATCCAAAATGATTCTAGTGAAGGTGTATGGAGTTTAAAAACACAGTGGAGCACTTCCTGTATTATCACATTGACTTAAAGGGCCAAGTTGCGCTGTTTTCTGATCTGTGTTATGATGTTGTTTCCTCATCGCAAACAGACCTGGAGTTGTGTTTTTGTTTTGTTTTTTTCATTCACATGCTGCATTTTTAGGCTGAGTTCTTCTCTCAAACAGAAAACACTCTGTTCCACCTTGTGATGTCACGCAGTAATACAGGAAGTGCACTGTTTTTCAACTCCACGCACTTTCACTAGAATCATTTGGATGATTTCAAACCTGGAATTGCCGATCTCTACTGAACCAAAAGGGAGGTGTTCACTTGAAAACTACCACTTCGTGACATCACAAAGTAGATCAGAGCATTTTAAGCTTTGAAAACGTAAACACACTAATAACGCAGCGTTACTTAAACATGTGTGAATGAAACTAAACACTACTTGTTGTTATCTGAAGTTTTTGATGAACATTCAGGGTTTCCACACTTTTTCACTGACACAATTTCAAAACTTTTCCGTGATTTTTTCATGACCTAAAGTGAATTTTCCATGACTTTACAGCACCTACATGTGTAGAATTGATCAGACTTTTAGAGCTAAATATGAAACGTTAACTCTTTCCACTCACCTTATGGTTTGGGATTATAGTTTTTTGAACGTTCTAAATCCTGTCAGTGCATTTATTGTCGTCTCTTTTAAACAAAAGGCGCAGACGTTCAGAAATAATCAGAACAGCCTCATGAGGAACAGTTGGAGTTGCGTGAAAGAGACACTAAAATTCCATGACTTTTCCAAAACTTTCATTGAATTTACAGGTTTTAGAAAATGACATTTTCAATTTCGACGACTTTCGAGGATTTCCATGACCGCGGGAACCCTGAACATTATCAAATGAAACAGAAAACACACACCAAACTTTTTGTAGAGGTGCAAATGCGAGGAGCAGCGAGATAAAAGCGAAAAAAAAAAAAAAAAAGCACAGCACACTCCAGAGGTGGGGACTTGCAACTTGGACTCGGGTCAGACTTGAGTCACTATTTTTAGGACTTGAGACTTGACTTGAAAAAAACTTGGGATTAAGACTTGGACTTGAAGGTCAATGACTTGGAACTTGACTCAGACTTTTAAATCTGAATTCTTGACTGTAATGATTCACACTAAGATCTTGTCAAGACATTTAAAAAAGAAAAATCAACTAAATTAATTTCTCCAACTCTTATATTCTCCATAAATACTCACATATAAATATACAATGATTTTTTTTTAAGTACAATTTAGTAAAAAATTCATATAAATTGCAAAAATCTAAGCTGTATTTGGTAATTTTTGGTTTAAAGACTTGAAATGACTTGAAGCTCAAAGCAGACGACTTGGACTTGACTTGGACTTATGGGCCAGTGACTTGAGACTCGACTTGGACTTGTCTGTATTTGACTTGGGACTTGACTCGGACTTGAGGTCAAAGACTTGAGACATGCAACACAAAGACTTGGTCCCACCTCTGGCTCACTCAGATGGCCCATGTCCAAAAGCTTTTTTTTAATTTTTAAATATTGTTAGATTTCGTCAGATATTTTTCTTGCTTTGGAACACTTTTTTTTTTTTGCTGAAACAATATTTAAAAATAAAAAAAGCTTGTGGACATTGGCCATCTGAGTGCGCTAGGCATTTTTTCACTTTTAGCCTGAACATTATAACATGACTCAAAATTCCCAGGAGACAGTTCTGAGTAATAATCCCTGTGTCATTCGTTCATTCGTTTTTCAAAATAAAACCAAAAACAAGAACACAAAAAAAAACAACTATTTTCTTCATTATTTGTCTCCAAATGAAAAAACAGGTAACGATTATTTTTTTTTTTCAGCTTTTGATTTTAAGTCCTAAAAATAATGGAAAAAAAAAAAAAAAAAAAAAAAACTTAAACTGCGAAGCCGGACTGAACCAGAACAGAACCAGGACAGAACCAAGACTGATCCAGGACTGAACCAGGACTGATCCAGGACTGAACCAAGACTAAACCAGGACTGATCCAAGACTGAACCAGGACTGAACCAAGACTGAACCAAGACTAAACCAGGACTGATCCAAGACTGAACCAGGACTGAACCAAGACTGATCCAAGACTGAACCAGGACTGAACCAGGACTGATCCAAGACTGAACCAGGACTGAACCAAGACTGATCCAAGACTGAACCAGGACTGAACGAAGACTGAACCAGGACTGAACCAGGACTGATCCAAGACTGATCCAAGACTGAACCAGGACTGAACCAGGACTGATCCAAGACTGATCCAAGACTGAACCAGGACTGAACCAAGACTAAACCAGGACTGAACCAGGACTGAACCAAGACTGATCCAGGACTAAACCAGGACTGAACCAAGACTGAACCAGGACTGAACCAAGACTGATCCAGGACTAAACCAGGACTGAACCAAGACTGAACCAGGACTGAATCAGGACTGAACCAGGACTAAACCAGGACTGAACCAAGACTAAGCCAGGACTGAACCAGGACTGAACCAAGACTGATCCAGGACTAAACCAGGACTGAACCAAGACTAAACCAAAACTGAACCAGACTGATCCAGGACTAAACCAGGACTGAACCAGGACTGAACCAAGACTGAACCAGGACTGAACCAGGACTGAACCAGGACTAAACCAGGACTGAACCAAGACTAAACCAAGACTGAACCAAGACTAAACCAAGACTGAACCAAGACTGAACCAGGACTGAACCACGTAGACTGTCAGGTGATCAGGACTGAGACCGGGACTGAGACCAGGACCAGACTCAGACCAGACCGGGTCCAGACCAGGACTGAGACCCGGACTGATACCGGTTCAGTACTGGTTCAGACTTGGTTCAGACTGAAAAAAACAAATCATTATCTGTTTTTTTCATTTTGGTTCTGGAGACAAATAATGAAAAAAAATAGTTGCTTTTTCATTTTCTTATTTTTGGTTTTATTTTGAAAAACGACTGAACCGACGATACACAGATTCCGCGTAACGTAGCACCTTTAAATCCCACGTGATCTGAACGGAACAGCAGGTTTTTGACATTTCACAGATGATCTATTTTCCATCAACAAAATATTCTGAATTTTCTAGCGTTCCTCCTTACAAACTTTGGCGCTGGCCGGTCTCTTCAGCTCCAGGCGAACGTTCCAACTTCATAAAAACCCCACTTCAAACTCGGCCCTTCACATTTACGGCTCTATTAACGCCAGTAAACAGCGTGTACACTACTTCTATATAACCGGCAACGTTACAAGGTGCGGCTGCGCGTGGACGCGATTCTCCCCGTGTGAACTTCTCTGACCATTTGAATTTTAAATATATGGGTCACAAGTCAGAGCTCTGGCACGGGACAGCAGTAGCCGCTCCGCCGTTTGTACCGTCCAAGATAAACAGTGGAAGGATTGAACGGAGAGAGAGAGAGAAAGAAAGAAAGAAAGAGGGAGACATTTGGTTTTCATTGGAGACGGTGAGAGACTCCAGGTGTTGCTCAGATCCAGGCTTTACCGGCGCGCACCAAACCGGCTTTTAACTCCGACGGGGAGGTGTAATTTATGGATTTACGGCGGTGGTGGTGGGGGGGGGGGATTGTGGACGAGAGCCGGGGAGGTCGTTAGGAGCCGGCGGACTTGCTGCTCCCCGGGGCTCGTGATGCTGCGGTGACGGAGGAGCGAGCGAGGGCTAGTCACGCTGACAAACTATGAGTCGCCGACTGTGTGAATAATGATGAAAAAGTGGGAGCGCGCCGATGTTCCCGCAGCCTTATGTTCCGTCATTTCTAAGTTTTAGTTTTTTTCTCTTTTCTAAATTAGATCTCAGAAATGAGGGGACGTCTGATCTATGGTATAATGTTGTTAACTCATCGCAAACGTACCTGTAGTTGTGTTTGTTTCATTCACACGCTGCATGTTTAGGCTGAGTGCTTCTTTCAAACAGAAAACACTCTGTTCCACCTTGTGATGTCATGCAGTAATACAGGAAGTGCACTGTTTTTCAACTCCATGCACTTTCACTTTCATACACATACATACATATATACATACAAATAGATAAAAAATAAATAAAATAAATATGTTTAGGCTGAGTGCTTCTATCAAACATAAAAGAGTCTGTTAAAGTGCGGAGAACAGGTCTAAACAGTGGTGTAGTGGGGATTTTTTAAGTGGG